CTGTTGTCTCCCTGCCCCCATTAGTGTTGACCAGCCTTAGGGTTACGCCTGGAAACTGCAGGTTGATGGTAATGGAAGGCTCTGCCTTGCGGTTTGCAGGTCCAGACAGATCAGTACATCCCCGAGGAAGACATCTATGGGGAGATGGATGCCATTGAGCACCAGCTGGACCAGCTGGAGCATCGTGGGGTGGCCTTGGAAGAAAAACTTCGCAGCACTGAGAATGGTATGTGGGGTGGGCTGTCTGTGGGTGTGGGGCAGGACAGACCCTAGGGCTGCCCTGTGTCCAGCCAAGGACATAGCAGTGGTGACTTCTTGCTGATGCTGGGGTTGGAAGAGCGCAAGGGGCAGTGCTGGGCTCCAAGAGTGGTCATAGCCATACCCTGAACATGGAGATATCCCTAGAGTGGAAGGAGGTGGGAGAAGAGATGAAGTCTCTCTCTGGGGCTCAGGAACAGGCTGAGGTCAGGTTTGCTCCAGCCCGGTGCCCCTCTCCTGGCTTGGCAGAGCCCATCCTGCTGCAGGGTGATGGGATCCTGCAGGGCTGGGAGTGGCTCTGAATTGTCCCTTTGCTTGGCAGACAGCCCTGAGGACAGCCTGCTGGTGGACTGGTTCAAACTCATCCATGAGAAGCACATGCTGGTCCGCCACGAATCGGAGCTCATCTACATGTAAGTGTGCGTGCAGGCATGTGGGGAGGCACCGATGCTCTTGCGGGGAGCCCTGTCTCAGCCCTCCTGAAATTGTGCCTCCAGGGAAGAGCCTGGCACGGCCTCCTTGCCTGGAGAAGGGAGAGAAAGAGGATGAGCACATAAATGTATCCAAACACACTCAGAACTGACCCACTGAAAGTCACCAGAGCCCCTGAAGCACATGCTCCGGGAAGGCCTTGAGCAGCCAGGGCTGGTCCCTGCTGATGCTTGGCTCCCTGGCCTTTTGGCTCTGCAGGATAAGACCAGCATCTCGGTGGTTCTTTCCAAGGTCATTTTACAGCTTGGGATGATGTTCTGCCTCTCTGGAGCCTTGCAGTGTTTCCCAGCAATGCCTTCTTCCCTTGCAGCTTCAAGCAGCAGAACCTGGAGCAGCGGCAGTCAGATGTGGAGTATGAACTGCGTTGCCTCCTCAACAAGCCAGGTACAGCATCGCTCTAGGTGCAGTTACCTCTGTTTCTCCCCTGGGCGTCATCTCCCCTCTGTCTAGGTGGGTCTCGGGTGAAGACAGACGGATCTTTAGGGATTCCAGCACACTCAGCTGACTTTAGAGCTGCTCCTCATCTCATCGCATGCCCCAGCCTTCCGCAAGGACAAGCTCCTTTTGTCCCCATGGGATGCCACCCATAGGGCTCTCCCCCCACAGCACTGGTAGCCCAAGTGGCCCTGCAGCTTGGCAAGGGTACCAGGAGATCGTGTGAGGGGATCTCTGCCTCAAAGCTCTAAATTTCAGAGCTCCTTCAGCAATTTAATTGCCTCTCCTTTGGAATTTGACTGGGTAGAGAAGGACTGGACTGACGAGGACCGAGGGAGGGAGAAAGTGCTGATGCAAGAGCTGGTGACCATCATTGAGCAGAGGAACGCCATTGTGAACTGCCTGGACGAGGACCGGCAGAGGTGAGTGAGGAGCGGAGTAGGCTGCAGGAGAGGGGAAAAGTGTAGCCTGTCTGACTCAGCACCACATGAACGACTTATGGGGGTGTCCCAAGATGTCCCTGTTGCTGACGTCTTTCCCAGGCTTCCCGATTCTTGTCTGTTTGAATGCCTTGTGTGGGAAAGACAGGGCAGTACTCGCAGCACGTGGCATTTCCTGCTGGTAGCAAATGCTCACAAGACAGTGATGGATCTGCCCCTCCATGGCTTATACGTAGGAGGTTCTCTAGCCTTGAACAATACAGTAGCTGTTTTTCAGGGCTGAATTGCTGACCTATTTCCCACTCTTTCTTTCAGAGAAGAGGAGGAGGATAAAATGTTGGAAGCCATGATTAAAAGGAAAGGTAAGAAACGATCCGGAAGATTTTTGTGGTGATGGTTTCACTGCCAGCATAAGCCATTCATGAAATTGTGTGCAGAAGGAGAGATTGAATCTATTCTGTGTAGACTCTGGAGCCTTTCCTGTAGGGCCGTTCAAGTTTGGGGCACAGTTGTGCTGCGCATCCCTGTTACCACAGGAAGAAGTGTGCGTGCAGTGGGGGCTTTGGTTCATGGCTGTCATCCTTGCCCCTGTTGCACATGTGCGTGTACAACCATCAGCCTCCCCCAGTAACAACCTCCCTTTGCAACTCCAGAATTTCACAAGGACACGGAGACTGAGAGCAAGAAGAAAGGCAAATTCAAGCCCATGAAGGTGCTAAAGCTGCTGGGTAACAAGCATGACTCCAAGAGCAAATCGCCCAAGGAGAAAAGCTAGAGCAGGGGAACACCAGCAGTGGGAGGGATTTTCTGCCCGACTGCCCTGGCCTCCCCACAGCTGGCTGAGATGCCTGCCAGGAAGGAAGGCTTACCTTCCTTCACTCCCCTCGCCTCTCCCCCCACTCCCTCTCCAGCTACCAGAGCTGCCACCCCGGGGAAACACCAGCCCTCTGCCCGGAGTGGGGGAGTCCGACCAAAGTGCTCCCCTTCCCGAGGCTGTGGAGGAGCCTGACCATCCCCTCCATGAAGCCTTGCTAACGAGGCGGGGAGAAGGTGGATTCGCTTTTCAGATACGTTACCCCATTGCGTGTTCTTGTTATTAACTGAGAAGCAAGCCAAGGAGTTTGGTGTTTTGTGGGAAAACTTGCACTAACTGTCCCCTGTCCCTTCTCCCGCTCTAACTGTGACAGTTCCATGTGCCTCTGACCTCTGCCAGGAGGAGACTGGACCTGCCTGTCCCTCCCTGCCCACTTGCTCTTGTCCCCTTCCTGTCCCATTTTTAACTTCAGGAGAAAACTCTGGCATTAGAATCAGGATTCTTTGGGTTTTATTGGCCTAAACTAAAATGTTAAGAAAACACTCCCACATCACAAGGCTCCAGAGCCATAGCCAAAAAAATAACTGGTGCCCTATTTCTTTTGAGCTGTCCCCTCCCTCGAGCGCCAGGGCTGGGTGGGCTCCGTTACAGGGCCGAGAGGACCCCAGGGGACAGTGTACAGCTGCTAGGACGTACGTAGCTCACACACCCTACTCAGGACACCTTGCCCCCCACTGCTGCTAAACACCCCTCACTCTGCTGCCTTCGCGGGGTGGGGAGGGAGGAACATTCCTTTTCCAGGCAAGGGCAGAAAAGCTCAAGACTGACTCAGTGCCGACAGGGGGCACTGAGCTTGTGCCCCTGCTCACCAGTGCCACCCTTGAGCGGCTGGGGAGAGAGGCACGGTCACAACTGACCTTTACCTAGCTTCATCTGTGTATACTTTAAAAGTGTGCAGGGTTTGGCTGGTTATTTTTTACACCTCCTTTACTAGATGAATTCAAACCCACCCTAAAAGTTTTTGAAACCCTTATTTTATGTCGTGTGTGTGCGCGTGTGTGCATTGGAGGAAGGAATGGGAGGGCAGTGTTTTTCCAACCACCCCTTCCTTCCGTATTTGTTTCCTGCCTTCTCCTCCAAGGTGAGGAGTTATTTATTGAATTGTTGAATTAGAGTTTCATGGGTGTTTGGTCGGTCAGCTGTTTGTCATGCCTTCTCATTAGCAAATTAGACATAACCAGCCTCGAGCAATCTGCTGCAGTTCTTCTAAAAACCCAACAGGCTTTAGCCAAAACGCTCTCAGAGCTGTGCCTTGCAAGGGGGCTGGCCTAGCATTCTGGAAAGGGATCTTCATTTCCCAAAACCTGAGGGACCTGAGCCCTCAATCCCAGTGTGGCCCCCGGGGCTGGGAGGTGGCAAGCTCAGCCCGGTGCTGGTGACACCATCTCACTCTTGCCATACCCCGAGCAGGCTTATGAGGAGCAGCGGTAGGGGAGAGGAAATCCCAAAGCACAACTTTTCTCTAAGGAGAAACAAATCTGCTTTAGATCCTGCTGTCATGTCACTGTTGCCAAAGGCCATCGGGATCACTGCAGTCTGACACCCCTTGGCCCCGTGCCTGGTCAGAACTCTGATTTGTAAATTATACTGTACTAACTCCATGACTTCCGTTCACCTGAACAAAAATAAAAGAAACATTGGCTTTAAAAAACAATTGCGGTTTAGGTTTCTGATTCCTTTCTGTATCCGCATTGTCCTGGGAACAAGGAATGGTGCCTGGCTTTGGGGAGTGGCTGATAAGTACTGCTAAGCAGATGATGGGATCTTAAAGAAAGTGAGATGTGGACTTTATGCTGGGCTTTATGCAGGAATAGCGGGGCATCATGCTTCAGCCTGCTGGAGGACAGAGGTGGGGCTATGTATGAGGTGAGCAAACAGCCTTTTCCAGGCTCTGTGGGAGACCGATGGCTGTTCTGCATACCATGCTTTCAGGAACCAAAAAACCACAGCAAGCCTGCAGCAAAGAGCAGCAGGCACTGGGCTGAAATCCCCTCTCCCTCCTCAGCGCCGCTGTGTTCCTGAGCGCCTACCCAGTTCAGCTGCTGCCGAGAAGTTTGCTGAGGCAGAGTCACGCTGACCTGCAGCAACGCCGGAGGCTCCCGTTTGCGTAAGGCCATGTGGCTGCATCTTCCTCCCAGCCATCTGCCAGCACAGCCATTCCCAGCGTCCTGGGGGGCAGGAGCGGGTTGTAGATGTGGGTGGCAACATGCGTGTTAGCATCGTGCTGTCACGAGAAACCTCCACCTCTGGGTGGATGGACAGGAGTGACATTTTTATCGGTGGATTACTGTACTCTGAGGCATTGCGTAGGCAAAAGGAGGCTCTGCTTTGTCATGTTTTGGTAGCAGCTGCTGTGTGTTTTCATCTCTCTAATATGGTTGAGCAAGAAGGGATCCAGTGCGTGGGTAGGATTTTACAACAGCTTTCTTCTGTCACCAGTTAATGTACAAACTGCTCCTGCCTTCTAGCTTTAGGCAACAGGTGGTGCTACCCCCTCTTCGGGCACAGGCACAGACCCGCCTTTGAGACTCTGAGGCTGAGAGTCTGGGAAGAAGAGGTGGGAACAAATTGCACTTGTGTTTTTCCCTTGGCCTAGTTGTGATGATCGGATTTGTTCCCACCAGGGAAGTCTTTTGTCATGATCTCTCCCATTTCCTCGCTTCTCTTCTTGTCAATGATCTCCATCTCGCGCATTTTCTGCGAAGTACAAAGGAGAAGGGCTGAGCAGGGAGAAAGCTGGCAGCTTTTTGGTTTTTGTTTTTTTTCTTCCCTTGCCAACCCCAAGAACAAAAGTTCCATTTCCCTGATTAAGTTACATGCAGAGATGGAAAGAAAGGCTGAAAACATGTATCCTCCCATTCCCCGAATTCATGCCTGTTCTGTGCCATGAAGGGAAACACTCAGTTCTCTGCCCCCTTCCCTGCTGAGATATTGGAGGAGACGCTGCTTTTCAAGTCTCTGACACTATAGGTGTTCCTTCCCTGTACTGTGTGACCAATGCCACCAGGGCCCTTGCGTACCTGTGAGATTTCAGTGAGTACAATGCTTCGATACTTCTTGCCCTGTCCTAGGGCTTCCATCTCTGCCAGGAATTCCCTCCTCTCCTGAACTTCATTCACCACTGATGGATAAGAGAAAACACTGTGGAAACATGATTCAGCCAAAAGGCAAGAAAACACGTTTCTGTCTAGATCTGAACTCCCCATTTCCTAGCTCTGCTTGAACAGCAGTTCCACCAGGGGAAGGGTGATGTCTGCTGTAATGCTCACCTTGCACATGTTATCAAAATACCTCAGTAGTCCCTTTCGCAATGGGAAATGTTCCCCCTGCCCATCTCTTACCACTCCCCATTGTGCAGGAACAGTAATTTTCTAGTTTTCTTTATACAGACAATTCTCTCTTGCTTGTGGACAATTTAACCAGTCTGTGGCTGGAGACAGAACCTGCTTAAAGCTATTGAGGTTCATTAGTTGACAGGAATGACCCACTGAATGTGACCATCTCTGCTCCCAGGACCAGCACAGGCACAGACCTACAGCCACCTGATTCAAACCTTGCCACAGTACAAAATACATGGGTATTTCAGATTTGTCAAGGACAATACTCGGCTTGTGACAGGTTTTAGAGGGTACAAAGCATGTGTGAAGCCAGCCACGCCAGCTTCCCTGCAGCAGGGAGCAAAGCACGTTATTCTGGCATTGTCCATCTTTGTGCTGCCCTGGCTAGTGAAGGGCTGGCTGTGGCGTACGCACACACTGGAGATTCAAGCACAGAAAGGTATTAGGCAGGATTTTGCCATTCCAGAATACTCTGCAGGCCAATGTCCATCACTGCTTAAAACTCTGCTTGACATTTAAGCTTTGCTAGCGTAACTGCTCTGATTTGGAGTGAAAGAAAACAGAACCCAAACCACGGTCAGGCTGGCAAGTGTCCTAGTCTATGCTGAGTTATGCTGGCTGGAAAAAGGACCCACAGTACCTGGGCTTCCTGCCCAGGTCACCCTGTGTGTCCCTGGGGCATTCCCCTGCCAGCAGGGTTCATTTCGTGTGGGCAGCCTGGGCAACGTGAACCTTCCAGCAAACCTCTGCAGCATAAGCTCTGTGAGGATGGCTGGATCACACACAGTGTCACAGCAGCAAGTCTTCTCTTGGAAACTGGGCTTTGTGCCCCCTTCCACAGTGGGCTTCAGGTTACCGGCAACATGGCCTGCCACCCTAGCCCTTGGAGGGAGCTGGCTTCCCAGGCTCCCCGCCTGCCTTCCTCCAGGATGTGTAAAGACGTACGTTCTTCAAACCGGTCAGGCTCAGGTATCTCTTCTTCCTTTGTTTGAACCAGCATCTGCTTCACCTTGTGTTCCACCACATCCTTCCCTGTCGCTAAGATGTTTTGGAGCCTTTGCTTCTCCTTTTCCAAATCTCCTGTGAATGCCAAGGGGGAAATAAATGATGCTCAGCCTGTCTCCTCAGGGAGAAGCCTGGCCACACAGCTTCCCTGCTAACGATGCCAGAGGAAGCATTACGTTAACGACAGCCCATCGCCAGGCTCAACTGCACAAGCATTGCACAGGTATACCCGTGGTGAAGAGTCAACCGAACTGACGTCAGAGATTTGATTCACGTTCACAAGCTAGAAAGTTGCGTAGCACTCCCTTCTTACGCAAGGATTGTGTGGGTCCCTATCACCCCCCCTAACCAGCAGGCAGAAGTCAGTGAGCACGTACAGCAGATGTTCCCTCAGAGATCCATTTTTAAAGCATCTTTGAAGACAGAAATCGTGAGGACAAAGAGCAATTAAGTTACCCCCTGCGGCTGCTGAGATTGCAGGCAGAGGATGGACAGAAGGGGAAGAGAGGGACCAGGCAGCATTATTTATTTATTAGCGATGTTTGCTGACTTACGCCTTGCCTGTGGCCTGAATTTCTCTCGGGTGTAGGCATCTCCTGCCTGGCAGACCTTGGCAGGTCGGAGATGCGGTTTAGCTGAAAGTCTACTGGGCTTACGAACTGCTGGGGAGAAATCAGGTGCTGGAGGTGCTGGCTCTTTGCTGGATGTGGGGTGGCACTGGAGGGGCAGGGTATCTCCTCCTGGAGAACAAACCAAAAATATTGGTAGGTCAGAGAGGAGTCTGGATGGATGGTCCCAGGCTACCAACAGCAGAAGATCTGTGTGTTGATCCACTGTAGCACCACAAGTGAAGACCTTGAGTGCCACAGATGTCCCACCCTGGTTGTTGGTACACGCTGACATGAGGCTGACTGTGGTTCAAGTCATGCCATTGCATCTTGTTCCCAGAATGACCCTTGGGGACACCTCGCCCCATACGTCCCCGTGTGTCAGCAGCTGCCGTGCTGCTGTGTTAAAGCACTTGCCCATCCAAGCAGACTGTGGGCGAATGCCCCCGTCTCAAGATGAGCAGCAAAAGCTCTTCACCACAGCACAGCCACGGGTGGGAGAGTGAGAGGGCCATCACTCACGTTTCACACACGCTGTCAGGTGTCGCCTCTGGAAATGCGTCAGCTTTGAATCCTCCATCATCGCTGGAAAACATGATGTCTGGGCGTAGACAGCAGCCCAAGGGGGCTCCGCGCCTTCCCTCTGGCAGCCAGGACAGGCTGGGGAACCCACCCCGGGGCCAATCCTGCCTCACAACCCAAACCCAAAGGGGAAGATGCAGGTTCAGGAGACTCAAGCCGGGGCAGCGCCACCAGCACCGGGCCCGCCCAGTTCCCTGGCTCCTGCCCCGAGGAACCACGGTGGGACGCTGGAGAGGTGGGCCTGTGAGAACCTCATGAAGTTCAACAAGGCCAAGTGCAAGGTCCTGCACGTGGGTTGGGGCAATTCCAAGCACAAGTACAGGCTGGGCGGAGAATGGATTGCGAGCAGCCCTGAGGAAAAGGACTTGGGAGTGCTGGTGGATGAGAAGCTCAACATGAGCCGGCAATGTGCGCTGGCAGCCCAGAAAGCCAACTGTATCCTGGGCTGCATCAAAAGGAGCATGGCCAGCAGGTCAAGGGAGGTGATTCTGCCCCTCTACTCTGCTCTCGTGAGACACCACCTGAAATACTGTGTTCAGCTCTGG